AGCCCTGAGTCACAACAACCAGCTTCTGCCTCCAGCTGTGTCACTGCTGTGTGGTGTGACCTTGGCATAGGCTGTAAGCTGACTGTGCAGGGATTGCATCTTCTTGATTAATAGCCTTGCTCAGAGTTATATCCCCTTGGTTCGACAGCACAAATAAGTCTCTATTACTCTGGTAACAGCATGGAGTCCTGGCTCAGAAAAGGAGCACAATCCATTCCTGGCTTGGGAACCATCAGCATAATTAATTATATTTGGATTGCAGTGTGAAAATTGCCAGTAAGGCGGAGATGCTCAGGCCTACAAACATTGCGTGAGTTTAATTAAAAGGATGATTTTAAGCGGCTTTGGGCACAGATACTTTATACTTCTCTATTGGTTTCTATCACTGCCTCAGTAATGAATTGTCAACGAGTTCAAATGAAATGAGCTTTCATTCTGCATGGCATAAAGCTCTCAAAGGTGGAGAGGTAGCTGTTTGTGAAGAGGGTTTTAGTAGTGTGTAAAATAAGGGTGAAAAGGGGGAAGTTTTTTCCTTCCTGGATGTTCATAAGGTAGAGATCACAAATGCAGCCTGTGCAAGAATGAGCCTCCACCAAGCAATCATCCGTGCTGAGGACGGCTGTGCTCCAGCAATGCATCCAAGCGTTGCTGTCTGCGTCTAAAGGGACTCTTGTGAGCCTGTACCTAGAAGGTGTCTAAGCCCTTTGCTGGGCTGGGGCAACAAGCTCAGCGTTTTGCAGGATAGGGCCCTGGCTTTTGCAGCGTTTCAGTGTGTTGGAGTGAGCGCTGTGTGTATTCTCTTGGCCTCCACATTCAGCTCTCAGATTTTCCCAGAGAACTGGGCAGAGCAAAATACAGTCCCAGAAAGGGAGCAATTAATTAAACAGCTCTGTGCCGCCTTCTGGTGTCGACCTCGACAGCGCCTGTGAACTGCATAAATGCACTCAGGCTTGCTGTCCAGAGCTCTGATCTGGGTGAAGCTGACTGCAAAGGGACTCGTTTCAAAGCCTCTCTTGTGTTCTTTGGTAGCACGTACAAGGACAGTGTTACAGACGTTACTGCTCTGCCTGTAATGGCTAAAGAAAAGGGCTTGACAGATTACTGGGCTTGGGTTTTTTTAATTTTTATTTTTCCCCTCCTGTGTATGTGCTTTTGCTGAAGACGAGGAATTAGCGCTACTGATTTTTTTTGAAAGACTCTTGAGTGCCCATAACCCCAACTGACCTAGGCACTTTTGGAGACTTAGCCAGAATTTTCCAAGTTATTTTTAAATGCTGGAAGTCTTGCAGGGGTCTGGGAATGTTAAATGAATGATTATTTGCATCATAGAGCATAGGAGTCGCAGCCCTGGACTGAGGCTCCATTGTGTTAGGTAGTGAATGCACATAGAACAAAATGACTGGTTCTGCTCTCGGTACCATGAAATTGGAGCGGAGTCAGCTCCCATCCCTCTTTTCTAATATATTTATACATGCTCAGTGTGATAGAGCAGTGTATCAAATCACAGATATGTTTTTTAATAGCAGTTGAAGTACAAATAAAGGTCAGATTTGTGTAGCGTGCATTTATTTAATGTCTTGAATGGCAGAGCACAGTAAACAGTATATGAATGCCTGGATGAAAAATAATTGTTCATGCTTGGAGTTGATAACAGTGACTATATGTATTTTTAGCTGTGTTTCTCTGTTATGTCCAGGCCTCTGGTCAGTGCTGCATTGCCATTACCAGATGACTTGCATTTAGTGTGCTCCTTTGATCGCTTTGTCAGCGTGACATCTGGCTAGTTTCCCTTTGCCAGGGTCCCAGGATCATGGTGAAGTTCTTACAGTTACTTGTATCTATCTTTTCACTTTACAATTAGCCTGAGAAAAGAATGATTCCTCCCCTCTCTGCAGATATGGGTTTATTTGGGGGTTTGGGTTTTTTTGCCTTCTTCCAAGGGGCAGACAGGCAAATTCAGCCCTACACCAGTGATGTCAGGTTCTCTACAGGCTGTCACAAAGCCCTTATCCCTGCTGGTTTTGAGCACCTTGGGATAATCCATGAAGTTGCAGTGCTAATGGTTCGTTTTGTAAATGTAGGAGGTGCTCAGTGTACAAGTTAGAGAAGATTGGTTACGACAGGATGCCTACAGTTGAGAAAAGACTGAAATCTGTTCCTGTGAGAGTTGTTCTGCACTTCTCTCCAAAAGCTGTCTCAGGTACAGGGAGAGGCTTTATTCTTCCAGCACAAAATCGATCTGTGACTGTGAAGTGTTTGACCATGATTAACATCGTGGAGCAATAAGGGTTTTTAAATTTTTTTTTTTATTACTTTTAGCTATCTTGCAGCTAGCAAGCCCCTTGGAAGATAAGTAACTAGTCATCATGCTTGGGCTGCTATTCAGTAGGAAATAAGTACAGTTAGCTCAAAGTGCTCATAGTAGCCTGCATTGCTGGAGACTGTCATCTGCCATGGTAACCTGCAGTAACTGAAGTGTCAGTGCCCATGCCTGGACAGCTGTTGAGAAATGTGTCTCTCACTGAAGCCAAACTGTTGTGGGACAGGATCTCTTTGCTAGCCAGCTGGTATCACACTTTAGTTCTAAGTGTTACTTTGAGGACTTCATGTCAGCAAGAAATTGGAGACCTGCACATCAAACCAAGCAGACCTGAGTGGGTACTTTAGCAATTGCAAGCTTTTTGAAAATATTTTTGTCTTGTGTCCAGTCCTGGCCCAGTCACAATCTGAACTTGTGACTAAACTCATTTATTTAGGGAAAATTATTTCTTTAACTGAAGAGCCCCAAATTGAAATATTTTAGCAAAAGCCTGAAACATGGGCATAGGTAGCACAAGAACCTGCGTCTCCTGTTTCCCACTGCAGGCCAACTTCTGTGGCCTGGCAAGTTTTTGACCAGTTCTGCCTTAGACATTCAACAATTTTGGCCAAGTGACTCATTGTTTGATATTTGTTGTTTGTATTGCTATAGCAGTTGAGGCTCTTAAGCTTTGGATTCAAGACCTTGTTGTGCCAGGTGCTGTAGGAACATGGGGAAAAAACCCAAGAAAAACAAAAAGGCCTTGTGAGGAAGAACATGCATTTCTGTATAACCCAAGACAACAGATGGCTACAGATGGGGGAGCACAAGGAACTGATGAGATAATACTGGCCTGTGCAGTGAGTAAGTGTCTTGGTACATCACTTCTACACAATCTAAACATTGCTGAGGTTTTATAGACACTATAGCAAAGGACAGTTTGAAGGAGGATGACTGAGTTATGGCAGAAGTATACAGTAACATCACAGCAAGTGAGAAAGGCAGCAGAGGAAAAAGAGGCATGCTGAAAATTATGCTTGAGGAAAGATGTTTGCTGCAAAATCTGGTTGGCATCGTAGATGCCGTGGTCATGTATGAGAGAGTACAGGTATGGAAGCAAAGTAGAGACAGAAAGTGTATTTATTGGAGCAGGGAGTGCAGAGCCAGTGGAGAAAAGAAACCAACAGGCAGGCTACGTATTCAGAGTCTTGACGTGGAACTTTCTTCTGGTGTTTTTACTGTTAGCAGCTCAAGGAAAAAGAAAGTGCTGTTTCTTTGGATCGTAACTTTTAACCATCATGTGACATGAGGGAACAGATGAGTGAAGCAGAATGTGTGTGTTCCTTTATTTGCAGTGCAGATGCCTCTGTATGGGGCAAAGGAAAAATGCTGCTTTTTGTAGCGTTGTTTATTTGAACTTCAGTTTAACAAAATTGGCCTGTGCAAAAACTTCAGCGAATGTCCTCTTTAAGTTGAAAGCTTGCAGAGCAAGATGCAAGTCAAATGCCAACCCCAGCAATTAGCACACATCCTTTCATGAGTGTTAAACTGTGCTTAATCTCTACTGGTCAGGTTCTTTTTCTCCTACACACTGTCTACAGCTAAAAATGTCAAGTTAAAGATGAACCAAAGATAGCAGCTGCCTAGTCCATGGTTTTTTCTGAAGCAGCTCGGTCTCTCCCCAATCATAGTTTGCTTCCCATGCAGCATGAGAGGAAACACAGCTGTCACGGCATCTGTTTGGGAAGTTCTTGCTGGCTTGAGGATGTCTAGGAGCCCAAGTGCTCATAGCCCACAGTGTAAAAGGTATTGCTTGGAGTGCAGCTTCCCCACGGTAAAAATAAAACCTTTAAAGGTGTGTTGCTGTTTGATAGGAATGTTTCTTACAAAGGAAGTGGAGAATCAAGAAGGCTTTTGTATCCTGTGTAACACAGCATGACGTGACTGCAGAACAAGAGAGGATGTATTTAAATAGGCTCCCCAGAAGGTTGCTGGAGAAATAGCTTCATAATAGGAAATGCATTGGTTGCTTCGGCATAAAATGATATCCCAGATGTGTTCTCTGCAGTAGAGACCCTTTTTAGCTGAACCATTTTTAGCTGTGTGGAAGGAGCCCAGTTCTTTATCTCGAAGGCTCTTTCGGCAATAAACTTTGGTCTTGCCACTAGAGGGGGACTGCAAGCCGTACACTGTACGTCCGTCCTGCTGGGCTTCGCCAGCCACCTCTCAGTGCTAACACCAGCCCAGCAACTCCAGCAGCAGGACCCTCTCTGCTCTGTTGAGCTCTGGGGTGTCACAGCACCCATAAAAGTCAGACCTTGCAGCCAAATAAACGTGAAGGGACGTGGACAAGGGGAGCCTGACTGCAATGTCCGTGTGCTTCTCCAGTGATCTGGTTCTGCAGAATGTCATTTTTTTATTCCCACACAGCTACAAAAAGTGTCCTGAGCATGAATGGTGTTCAGCAAAAGCTGGTTAGGGTTTGTACAACCTCCCTGAGTCATGAAGAGGTGTGAATAACCCCTCTCTGTGCCTGGTTGAAGGAATGTAACAGCAGCATACCCAGCAGCACCATTAAACTGGTCAAAGATGAAATAGAAACATGAGTACGTCTAGATCCTGGGAGAAAAGTGGGGGCTTTAAGTATAGCAAACTCGCTTGTGTGCTGGGCCTGACCTACCTGTTTCTTGTCGCCTTGCAGGGCTTTTACCCATGTGTTCACCTTTGGCCCGACGTTCCGAGCAGAAAACTCGCAGAGTCGCCGGCACCTGGCGGAGTTCTATATGGTGGAGGCTGAGCTGTCTTTCACTGAAAGCCTCGAAGACATCATGCAGGTGGGCACTCCAAATGTCTGTGCTGCAGGACCGGTGCCAGAACTTCTTCCTCGTCCCTGAGCTGTGCTCACTGCCCTCAACTGAGGTCACAGCTCCTCTCGCCCTGTGTGAACTGGGTAGAGGTTGCACAGGGACTTCCCAAGGATCAGGGTTTGCTCAGCAGATGTGAGGCCACAGAGGGGATTTGGAAGGGAGCGTATAGGCACGAACGCAGCCCTCATCTGTATGGGAGGCTGCACAGTTGCTGTATTGCCAGGAAATGTGTAAATGTGCTTGACTGGTGCTAATGAAAGTGGTACTCTACCCTTCAAAACCTTCAACATCTCTCCAGTGAATCTGAGCGGTATTTATGCAGTGTGTCCCTTGGCGTGCTCTGTAAAGAGCGCCTTGAAACCTGCGTTGAAATCTCAAGCAGAAACAGTTCCTGGCATACACTATCCACTGTGGCTTTAGCAGAAGACTGAAAGAAATCCTTAGTCAGCTAGCTTCTGATTTTTCAGGATTGACCTCTCAGTTGCAGTTTAACCACATGATGGATGCTAATGCATCTTACTAGTCTCAGCATAAGCCAGTTTATGCCTAGTAGGACTTGGAAGTAAACATCCACACACACTCTCATATATCAGATAAGCTCCTTGGAAAGCTATTGGAGAAATAGCCTTAAAAAGGAAAAGACCAGAGGCACTGGCTACAGATTTATAAAATAATATCCAGGTGGTGGTTTCTTCAGCCTGGATCATCTACAGTCTGCTGAGTCAGTATGGCCTGACAGCAGAGCTGACATACTCTGTCTCTTGTGTGTGCTGCTTCTGCATCTTGGATGTCTGGATGGCAGTGGGCTGTGTGGACTGACCCATTGGGAATCCCTGTGCTCTGTCATTAATAGCATCCCACTCTTTCTTTTCTCTCTCCATTTCTCCAGAACAACTTTGTGTATTCTTAGAGCAAAGCATATGTATATGTTTGCGCCTTACTTCCTGAGCCTGCTGTTTCTCTAGGTAATCAGGACCTGATTGAAACTTTAACTGCTTTTATCTAGTATAATAAGCAGGGTCTTCTGTTAAGTGGTGTTTGACCCCTTGAACACAGCAGGAACGTATCTATACTCTTGTGCTGAGAACACTAATTTCTTGGCTTTTGAAGTATAGACAGCCAGTTCAGACGATTCAGAGAATCAGATTTGAGAATGGTTCTGGAATGTGTAGGGCTTTTGTTTGTAGGGAAAGGAGGAACCCTTCTTGGCTTGGCTTTTGTTGTTGCTAAACATCTTGTGAAGTCTCAGCTTGTGCTCTCCTCTTTCGCTTCTTCCCTCTGTCCCGAAGTCTATGTTGTAGGGACAGATGCTTGTCGGAAACTCTCCTAGCAGCCATCATTTTGCATTCCTCATAGCAAGTCTACATTGCAACATGCTTACTTTTGTGATGTTCTCATTTGCAGAAGTGGAGTTCCTGTTTTGTTTATTTTTAAATCATTGGGCAATCTCTCTTTAAAAAAAAAAAAAAACACAACCAAAACTGACAGCTGCTCTAAAGCCTAAGTTAAGTTTCTTTTTCCCCACGTAACTGACCTAAATTCAGTGTTCTCTCATATATCTGCCCGTTGGGCAGTTTGTCTGTTTGTCGTCATCTGCAAGTTCTTTGTTCAGTGCAAAACGCCCAGTTGAAAGCCTTGGGGGCTCTTGGCCAGGGTTAGCATCTGAACTTTGTCCTCACATAAAGAGCTGGATTGTTTAAAATTTATTTTTAAAATTGGTATTCAACATTTGGACTGAATACCTCTTCAGCAAGTTAGTGTGCTGGGAATGCTCAGCTTCTTCAGGGACATCTTGAAGTATTTGCTTATAGACCATTAAAAAAGAGCCTTGCTACAAAGATGTACGTGTTTACCATTCACTGATGAGGCTTGAGATCTTTCTCTCGGTCAAAGCTCCAAAAGAAACATAGCTTTCCTTACAAAATAAAAAGAAGAAGATTTAGTAACAAAGCTACATGTATTTGGGAGCAAAGGGCCTGAAATCTTAGAGCAACGACTTTTTTTCCCACTGTAATTGCACAGAGTAGTGCTCAGTTATTCCTAAATTAGTAGCACAGTTCTTGTGAAGTCTTACGCGTCTTGATCACGCAATCTAAATTTCTGTTCTGTGCCAAAATGTGTTTTAGTGCTCCAAAGAAGCTTAAACTCTCACAATACTGGTTTCACAATACTTTCTGCGGAAAGTCCCATGTGCTCAGTGCAGTACTCCACGCTGGCTGGCTGGCTGATAGTTTACTACTTCAGTGTACAGGGTATATGTAAGTGCATCTAAGGAGAGGCCTCTGTGGCCTCTTTGCATAAGAGTCTAGTCAAGAAGTTGAGTCAAGTTGCCCCAAAGCACTCTTCCTCCAAACTGGATGAGAAAGAGGGGGAGTTAGAAGAAGGTCAGGTAAGACAGTGGAAGGGGTCTGATTTGTATGGAAGTGTCTGGACTCACTAGAGCCGTTGCCCCTCTAGTCCCTGAATTGGAGGTCCAAGGTCTCCAGTCTCATCTGTCATCTGAGATGCCTGCTGCCACCCTCTCCCTCTCTCTTCAGTGCTGTGTCATGTAGCCGTATTTGTAGATCGTTGTCTTCTATTTTTCATTCCACTGTCTTAGTAGTGCAGTGGATTTAAAGGATCCCACTTCACTTGTGATGCTAATGGGGTCTCAAAGAGGCCATATGATGCAGTCATTATTGAATTTCATCAAATGCACATACAAAACCATGCTAAAAAACCCATTATTTAGGCTGTAAAGTTAGGATATGCCGGAAGGAAGTTTTCCTGAGGGCATTTTTGGGAGTTTATGCATATTGTTAGTCTTCCTTAACAAGAGCACATCCTAGCACCGCTGTCTCTTTAAGAGATGGAGAATACATCTCTTTAAGATGGAGAGTACAATTTAACACACAGTATTTGAGCTCTGTCCTGAGGGCAGAAGTATTGTCTTCCACTGGTTATGTACTTCATCAAAATTAATTTGCTGTCATTACAGCCCAGTGACATGGAGCATTATTACCTCTGTTTTACAGAAGGGAATTCAGGCATGAAATGAAATCAACAGTGGCACTGATTTTTGGATGTCAGTTTCAGGGACCTTAGATCCGAAACACGGGTGTGGTTTGATTTCCAGAATAGTTTGCACTCGGAGTACTTTCTGTCTTCAGTGCCAAGGCTAAGACAGTTGGGCAAATCTGACTGCAGTCTCAAGGGAACAAACACCGGTAATCACATGGGAAAGGTTTGTTCCAAGTGTCTTGCGCAGAGTTCTTTAGAAACACTGGGGTATCTGCAGGGCTGTGGGTTCCTTCTCTGAAGTGGTGTACAGCTGCCATAGCTGAGGCTCCATCAGCATTTATTGTTCAGCTTCGATGGCCAGCGAAGCAGTGGTCTGACAGAGAAGAGTCTCCTTCTTTTCATAACAACAGCATCCCTCCAGAGTGAGTCCTGAGCTGTTGGTTATATAGCTGAGAGAGGATACTTTATGACCAAGAACAGATGCAAATCTCCCCTCTGTGTGTGTGTGTATGTGCACACACGTATGGTGTGTGTGAGCAAGCATGAAGGTACGCAGTAATGGTCCATTTGGTGACTGTTTCATATGTAAATGCCCTGTGATCTACACTGCATCCATATGCATACCCCAGGTGAATGCATAAACAAAAATCCTACTTGGCAGTTTTTGTGATTTTTCTGAAGGTGTCTTATGTAATAAAGATGATTATTTGAACCCTTCTTGCAGTGTAAAGCACCTTCAATTGCTGCTGCTGACATTTACTGCTGTTTTGTTGATGATTTCCTCTGTTTCAACTCTGGTCAAAATTTTATTTGATAAGAGGATAAGTTGCAGCATCAAAAGATCCAAGTTAAAATTAAACAATACAGTTGGGAGCTGCTTCTAATCAAAATTGGACAGTTAACCATTAAGTTCCACAGGAACATTGGGGAAGGACAAGATTGATACTGCTGAACTTCTTTGAAAGGTGAAAATCAAGAGAAAGTCTGGGAACAATGAGGAAGAATGGAAATCTTTCACCTCCGTCTTACTCACCTGCCCTCCTACCAGCACAATTTCTACATTTCCATTATGAAGCAACCAAATTAAAGGGCTTTTGGACATCAGGAATCCAACCTCTGAGATGAGCTACTTGCTTCGATTCCAATGGCTTTTTCCCTCTGTAAGACTCCTATCAAACATGTTTCTTTCAGGATATGTTCAAACCAGTCACTTCTCCTGTATCTCCAGCTTGTGTTCCCTCAAACCAGCAAACCAGTGGTTATGCTTCTCCACTCATTTTTCATATAGCCTACTTTCCAGTTCTTCATTGTATTATCTGCTTAAAGCCATAACTTCTCAGTTGGAGAGCTTTTTCCCTCCTTTTTCTTTTTTCCCTCCACTTTTCGTGCCTAGTACACATTTGGCATAAATAAGAGCAGCGAGGAGGCCAATGCATGACCCACGTGTCTGTCTTTTTTTGCCAGGATAAAACCTCAAGTTTCAAACCTGGAAATATTTCTCAGATTGTTTTTCCCATACCACCCACATCTTTTTTCCACAAGAGGAAGCTGCTTATGTTGAATGCTGTGGGAACCTAATTGTTACTTTATCGCACAGTGAGGAAAAAAAGTGCTAATTAAACAACATGCTTTTCTGAAACCAGATGATACTTTCATTTTCTGGAAAGAGGAAGCTTAATGTAAAATCCCTTCAACTCTGCCTGGTGAAACCAGATGAATTGCCAAGTAGTTTTCTAATTTCATTTGCATAAGCCTTTTTCTAGCTACTTTGAAGAAAGTTCAAAGCTGACTGTTTGGTTATTTGCCACTCAGCAGCAGGAATGCTAGCTTTTCATTTCCTCTGTGTTTGAGTACCAGTAGGGGTAAAATTGTTCATCTGCATATGATAATGCTGTTCCTTTATTTGGATCTTACCTTTTTAAAAAGAGGGCCCAGATTGATGCAGGGGTCTGGAGGCTCTTTAGCTCCAGAGGAGTCAAAATGGACTGATTTACCACCTTCTCTAGGCTGGTGGGATGCAGAGGTTGTTCATCAGTGCAGAGCAGTGTTTCAGCAGTTTGGGAGACTTGATGAAGGATGTTCTGCTAAACATGAGAGTTTGAACATCGTGCCCAAAATATTGTCTTGGCTATGTCAGTTGCCCAGCTTCTTCTTTTCTGTGCCTTTTGTTCCTCTTACCCTGTAAGATCTGGTTCCTTGCAAGGCAGAGACCTGCTCCTTCCTCCGATCTGCTGACTGAACATCAGGTTCATCTTTTCACAGTTAGTCTCTTCTGGGCTTTGTGGTGTCTAGGGACTTGCTACTCGCCTAGATATTATCGGTGGATACTTCACTTCTCTCAACTCTACAATTAATGAAGCAGTTGTTGTGCTCACAGGAAAAAAAACAGGAATGTGCCAGGACTTTCAAAGGTGCTTTTTGTTGCAAAAACCCTGGTCCCATCCCAGGCTGAGATGATATGCAGCCCAGCTGCATTGCTTTGTTCCTTACAAAGGAGATGAGAATAAGGAAGGTGATTTTGAAGAAGAGTTGGGACCATCAGTACTACACGGGTATCAACTACCTCCTTTGTACAGGCGTAAGACTACAAGGAGTCATGGGAACTCTTAATCTGCACAACAGCAAGTGTCTTGGATGGTCTGCTTTGCTTAACCAAAAGAGAAAAGTACTCATAAAATGGGTTGATCAAAATGCAGTGGCATCCCACATGGGGGCTTTTTTTTGTTTAGAACCAAAATGGCATTTTAATTTCTTCATGGGTAAGGCCTATTTTACTGGATAAGTGTATCCAAATTGGATGATAATGTCATTTAGTTAATCCACAGTAGTTTAGGGAAATGAAACCACATCTTTTTTCAGTTTCTCAAACATCCCTGCGTTGATGGGTCTTCCGCTTTAGCTCTCTACTCATCTCTGTACAAGTTCTCTTTGCTTTGCTCTTACTGCGCAGAGTCTCTCTAGCTGGGATCTGTTTGATGGGCTGGCTCTACACAGTACACATTTATTCTCTCCTTTAGTTCTGCCTCTTCTAACAACAAAGTAGAAAAACAGAATCGCTCATTACAGGACAGATACCTCACTAATAATTAATCTGAGACCAGTCACCACAAATGGTTGTAATGTGTGTGTTTGTGGCTGACCAGGGCTACTGTTTGAATATTTTAGCTGTGTTTTTTTCACTGGAGATACCTGACTGAAGGTACTGAGGCCATCAGCAGACACTGAAACCCTAAACCCGTAGCAGAAATACAGGTTCCACTCCTCTTCAGCTACTGAGCAAGCCTGCTAATTAGGAGCGTTAACAAGCTGGTACCCTCTTATGCAGTCTAACCATGCAGGACAGAAGCTCCTTCTGTACCCTTTGGCGGATGTGTACTGTGTTTTATTTACAGTCTGGGGCATCTAAGCAGTGTTAATTTCTCATGCACTCCTGTTTTCTCTATTAGGTTATGGAAGATCTTTTCAAGACAGTGACAAGCACTGTGTTCTCCAAATGTCCTCGTGATGTTGAGCTTTTTCATAAATACATAGCTCCTGCCCAGAAGGTAATAAATGTGACAGGAAAGAACTGCAATCCTGTTATGCATTTTGGGGGCTCTTGGCTATAGGAAGGCTTAGGTTTTATTTTTATTTTTTTACTGTGTTGTCCTGTGTTAAAAAACTGTGAAGAGCTAAAAGTTGGCCGGAGCTTAAGCAATTGTTCAGATGAACAGAGAGAACACACAACTTTTTGTAGCTGGTAGTAAGTGTGGTAGAACTGTAGCTGTCACATCATCTAGCAGCCTCTGAATCATCAGCTCCAGTAATCGGGTACCCTTTTAGCACTGAATGGCCGGGAGTAGATTTTGACCCATATCTAGATCACAATGCAGACCTACAAATAAAACTTAGAGGGAGGTAGCTTTTCTAAGTTCCCTCTGGGCCCCTGAACCCTTAAGAGTAGCTTTATGGTTGTTTTTTTTTTTCTTGTTTTGACCAAGGACAGGTTGGCAAAAACACTGAAGAACAAATTTGTGATGTAAGTACTTCTATTTCAAAATTATCTGCAAGAGGGCTTTTGGGGGAAAGAGTTCCTATTTTGTATATGTTCTTTTTCTTTCCCAACTCAATGTCTTCTGGGTTAGCATAATGTCTCCAAAAGAGCATGAATTGCAGTTCCCTTTGTACTGTTTGTCAGTTGCCCTTTCATATCTGCATGAGACTGGCATCTGAATCTGCTGGCCTTTGGCTTTTGCTTCCCTGGACAAGATCCTCTTTCTGTAAGGCTATCCTCCTTCCAGTATGTACTTGCACAGTGGTTTGCTCGCTGTCTTGCTTGGGTTTGGCTTTGGTGCTCTGCCTTCCTTCAGACTTCCACTCCGATGGCTCCCTTTTAATGAAGCTATTTTTTGATATTTAAAAATCTCAAAATTGGTTTTGTATTCCTGATTGCTTGTGCAAGTCCTTTTCCCAGTTCTCTGTGTGCTAAAGAACTGAAGGCTTTTGGTTTCCCTCCTTGGCCCCCAAGAATACATCCTCTTCCCTACTTTTGCCTGTCTCTTCAAACAGTGGTGCTCTCCATTCATCCCACAGAACATTGTAGGGCTGCTTAGCCCAGCACTGGTTTTCCTGTTAAGCAGCTACAGCCACGCTTGGGCAACAGGATCGTGATAGAGCCCTGCGCCTCGTGCCTGCATAAGCACCGTGGGGGACATCAGTGAAGTCACTGTCTGCCCATTTAAGTCCTTCTCTCTTTGGACCTAACTGATATTTCTGAGAGGACAAAGTTGCACTCAGCTTCTCCTATGGTCCAAGGCAAAAGAGAGTGAGTCAGCCTCTCTCTCTCTTCTCTGTTTCTCTCTTCATCAGCTGCTGGCAGATCTGGGGCATTCCTGGCTTACACACATCAGTTACATGCGTTGAACTTGTGCCAGTGATCTACCTCATTTGGACCATGGTGTCTCATAATCGAAACACATGGAGCAATATATTCCTTCTTGAGGTATTTCCTCCAGAAGCCTTCCCTGTATTAGTGAAACCTTGTAGCTGGGTGTAAAGAGCTCGTTCTCTTGAGGGAATTTGGTTTATAATTGGATTTAGCCAATGATACAGAGAGATAAAATTATTGTGACCAGGTTATTCTTTCTTCTCTCTGTCCACAATATTAGCTTGGTATGTGGAAAACTTGTCAGCAAAAGTATCTTCCATTGAGTCTTGATTTTCCAGTTGTCAAACCTGCAGCATCTTTCACTGCACTTTTTCTGTTTGCTCTGCCATGATGCTGTTCTTTTGTATTGGTGGAAGTCAGTGGAGAATCTGCTTTCAGATCTGTCAGAGGAGTAGAGAAACATTGCTGCAAATAAATCTCACAATTTTTGCAGAGTAAAATGAAAATGTTTGAGCTACAAGCCCTTTGCTTTCTGGGCTGTTATTTTTGCCTAACAACAACCTGAATGGTAGAGCTATGCTGATGAGGGCATATTGTTTTCTTAAAAAAAATCCACAAATCTCTGTGAAGCAATTTTCTGCAGAGCTCACTTCTGACTGAAATGCAACATTGCAATAATGCAAAAGTGTCTTGAGAGCTTAGCATTTCCTGCCCTGCATGTAGCTGAAGCACAGGAAAACATAGGGTTCTTGCTGTATAAAATGGTTTTTGGTTTCATTCCAAAGAAGCATTGCTGGGAAGTCTGACATCACAGCACAAGTTGGCATGGTGGTGGGGAAATGCCTCCTTAATTTTCCAGTACGGCACTTAGCCAGAAAACTTTCTTGTTAATCCTTTCACAGTTATCTTAAAGAGTTTTTTTTTTATTTTGCAGAATTTCCTACAATGAAGCAATGGAAATTTTGAAGCAAGCTTCTCAAACTTTCACTTTCAAGCCAGAGGTAGGTAGTTGTGTGGCAGCTTGTCCCTATGCCTGTTCATGCACACAGCCAGCCTGAACTTTGTAGATCTCATTTCGCTCTTTCTGATACAAGAGTTGTTACTTCACACAGGTTATCTGCCTCCTGGGGTGTTTGCTCAGTTGTAACCCAGGTACGACTTTTGCCCTTTGGGGAAGAAACGGAAGCAATATAAGGAGTGAGTTCTGTAGCAAAGAACGTGTAACGTTTGCAGGGAAGGAAGTGATGAGTTTGCTGTTGAAGGACCAAGGCTTTGGCAAAAGTGCTTCTCTTTACTGTATGTGAGTAGTGCCAAATATGTTGCATATTCAGTAGCAGTCAAGTAAGGAGAGTTGCTGTAACAGTCCTCAAATAAAGGAATAATATTAGGACAGCACCAAAAGTTTGACAAGGACTAATAAGCCAAAACCACATCAAAATACCGTGTAATCTAGATCTAGGTAAAGGCAATCCCTTGTCTTTCCAAAGCATAGATTTTGACCAGGAGAAAGAATCACATGCTAGTCTTTCTAACACTGTTAGATTATGGTTTTCTGAAAGTCATATTTTGCCCAATCTCAAACACACACACCAGTAGGGAGAGCATTCATGGTGGTGCTAATCTCATGTATATGTGTATACTGATTAATCTTTATCTCGTTCTGATGCTTTGAGGAAAATAACCCTCTGGCTGAAGCCACCTTTGTAGCCAGTTGGGTAACTGTCTTATCTCTGCCTACAGGTGGGTGTAGAACATCAAGTCCTCTATCAGTACTACCTTGATATGAGACAGCAAACTCAGGATATTTTCAGATGAGGAGAGTCTGCAGAATATCTGTTCCCCTCTTCCCGTTCCACTCCCCTGATATTCTTTGCACATCCTATAATGGACTGGAGGTCTCTAGTCAAAATCCACAGAATTTATAGCATTGCTGGAAGAAAGGAGAAGTGAAGGACATTACAAATGTCCAATGCTTCTGATAACAAAGAATTGTTTAATAGGATGCTGGGTTTTCTTAAATGAGAATTAATGTAGTGTGTAACAGGACACAGCAGGGAAGAGAGCAGTCAGCCTAGTAAAGCTGCTTTCTATATACCAAAGGTAATACTGAAATAAGGCTTTTTGCTGGGTTGAGTAAGCTGATTTTGGATAAGTGCCTATTTCCCCTAAGCTATGTGGAGTGTGATTTGGGGGATTTTGTTTGTTTGGGTTTTTTTTCTGATTTGATACCAGATGGTTGGGCTTGATGCAGGGATGATCTGGCCCTGTTCTGTGGAAGTTAACCATGTTATTTTCATTGCTTTGCTCTGCCTTAAAACTCGTGAAACTCTTGTCTGCTTAGCAAATTTTCCCAGTGGCCTGTGTGAGAAGTTGCTGTGCTTGGTTTCATGTTATTCAAAGCTACACATCTCTCCTACGCAGCGATTTTTCTGTGGCTCTTGCCACAGGCAAAGTGCACCAAAGCAGCATCCCAGGTCCCTTTTGCTGTCTTTACAGTGGGGCTGTGACCTCCAAACGGAACATGAAAAGTACCTGGTGAAGCACTGTGGAGAGGTTCCCGTGTTTGTGATTAACTACCCATATGACCTCAAACCTTTCTACATGCGGGACAATGAAGATGGACCTCAACATACAGTAAGTCTGTAGGTCACACTTCCTCCTCTTTTTTGGCTACATATGTGTCTTACCCTACTGATAGATAGACAGATGAGAATAGTCTTCTGCTGGGCCTCTGGTCAAGAAGTCCAAGATAAGATGTGACCATCAGATGATCCTGTTCAGTTGTTTTCCTGTTGTGGAAGAAATCCCCAAAGCAGGAACAACATGAGGAGGATTCGGGAGCTAGGTAGTGTTAAGTTTTTGCTTAAGTCCTTTAAGATGGATTTGCCATAGTTTATTTCTTTTCCTGGTAGACTTCCGTACTACTATGTGAAATGCCTAAAATTGCAATGCTCCAAGCAGCCTGTGATACTCTTGTCATCCAAATCTAGCATCTATGTAATACTCAAATAGCAGATGGACACAAGACGTAGACTCTTCCTCCACAGGTCTCGTGCTTTGAAGGTGTGATTTCCCAATTGAAGTGAGACAACCTGAAACATTGCTTCTACCAAAAAGAGCGACTACCCCACCATGTGCCACTGTCACTTCACTGGCTTTAATTCTAGCAACGGTCCAGCTGTGGGATGGGAGAAGTAACTCTACAAAACAAAACAGAGAAGAAAAGCAGCCCAAACCTAACAGCATAGGGGATAACACTGGGATCCTAACACTTGGATCAGCACATCGGTGCCATTGATCCATTGGTATCATTACCACTAGAGCTAGCTCAAGGAATGGGGGCAGATGGAGTAAACACAAGTTACAAGCGTCAGAGCAGCTTAAACTCTAAGGGAATCAGGGCTTCAGGAAACTTGGCTGTGTGTCTTTGTCTCCTTGTGAGCTGCTGTTGGGTTCCTTATACCCTGCGCAGGCTTGCCTACATGCACAGGTTGTCACCAGAGTAACCTGGTGGGATTCAGTTCACACCACCTGCTGTAGATGTCCACAGTCTGGAACACCACTGCACTTATTTATGTTTTCTGTAGACTTACGGATGGTTATCATTGTAAAGTTCCCTCCTAGCCTTCTCTTGTCAACAAGGGGCTTTTCAAGCATTTGCAAATACTTACATAAGTGTCCTGGACTCAATAAAAGAATTACGGTAGCTTCTTACAAACAGACATCCAGTGTCAGCTGTACTTCTGCTGTAGACTGTATGGCTACATGGCATGGCTTATGTTAGGTTTCTTTCTTTTAAGGTTGCAGCTGTTGATCTCCTTGTACCAGGAATAGGCGAGTTGTGTGGAGGCAGCTTGAGAGAGGAGCGACTGCCCTTCCTTGAATCACGCTTACAGAGGTATGAAAAACCCACAGGTGCTGGGAGACTAGCCTGACCAAGAGAGTGTTTCAGCAGCCCTCAGTGGTTGGCAAGACAGAGGAGTGGAAGGGCAAGTAATGGTATTTAAAAGAAGCCTATTTTTGTCTTTGAGATACCTATTTCTCTGAGTAGGTGACTGCAAACTGGTGAAGAAGTTCTTGTGCTTCTGTTGTAGGTATGCAAACTGCCTCTCTGTTTTAGCTCATCAGAGAAGAAGAGTTTATTTTATGTTAGGAGGCCAGGGCAGTAGAATGCCTCAGCTCTGCTGGGACTATCTGGAACAGGGTCTGATGTGAGGCTCTTCATCCTTGAGCCTTTTCTTTGTAGCTTTTGTGGCTGAGGAGTGGATTGTGAAGGTGGAGATTGTCACGTAGACAGAGCTTGGATGTATTTGTCATCGCATTGTGTAACTGAGGAACTGCAATTTTGGTCAGAAGCTTTGCTAGCTGTGATGCAGCTGGCCTCAGTGGCATCATTTCAGAGAATATGGTTCTTTGCTAACAGTTTGGTGGGAAGCTTCACTGGAAGTACCTGGGACCTGTACTGTGTCATACAGGCTCCTTCCCTGCTGCTTTGTTCTGGATCATGTGACTTGGAGTGATTGTAGGCTAAATTCAGTGTCAGAATATCAAAGCTGCTGTTTAGTTAACAAGAATTGACATTATAGATCGGGTAATTCTCCATAGACAATTACTCCTCAGATCCTGTCTGACTGCTCAAAAAAACCTTTCATAACTCAGATGAGTCCATTTGGGCCAGTCGTACACTTGTGCAAAGTAATTTTGGAGGAGGATTAATCCCAGAGTAACAACCATTTGCATATTAGGAATTAATTTCTTGCTTAAATCAGCCACATGCTCACCGAGATATATCTAGTCAGTGGAGAAGAGCAAAATCCATTTCAGCATAATGAATCCAAAAGGCGCTGGGCAATTAAAATCACCAGAACATTGGTTCTCAATTTGTGGTGTAGGATGATATTATTCCCTGTGCTTCCTGCTACTCTCCCTGTGAGCTCTCCCCAAGCAGGCATGCTTCAGCTGAAGCAAAGTACAATGTTGCCTGCTGCACTTTCACTTGAAATTTTTGCCAGTAAGATCTAGAGTCCACAGCCCTCAAGGTGTGGGGCTGGAGGAGAGGGGTCTGTGTGAAGGTTGAAGCCAGACTTTCTTGTTTGTCGGGAAAGTCATAGGAATTATTTCAAGCTACAAATGGGGTGTGTCTTCAGTGACCTTAAAGTACAGCTCTACACTGAAGATGACCTGGAAAAATAAGACCTCTTCACATGTTTTTCTCGATTTTGAGTACTCAGGATCTGATCTGCTGAGCCCAAATACTTTAAGGCTTTTAAATTCTACTTCCTGCAGACCCAGCATAGCTGAGAGAGATAAAGAACGGGGTTCTTGTCTCCTTATACACACTTCATACAATAGCTCCCCAAGTCCCAGTCAGGGACAGCTGCAATGCACTGAAGATGAGAGAAGTGGTCTCACTTTGCCTACACAGTTTTCTGTTCATGTTCAGAGAAATGGGAAAAAAACCTGACAACTTTGTTCTTGTTCTGCCAGGGCAGGGAAAGGAGAGAAGGTGCACTGGTGGCCATTAGAAAAAGACATATTTTATTTAGTAGCTTTATGGAAGTTGATAGACATTAATAAAGCTATAGGAGTTTAGTGTTTTTGTGGACTACGGAAGGGAAGCCACATAGCCGCACATGTGAAGAGATTTTGACTCACTCATAAATGAGGTTGGCTGCATGTCATTGTAAATTTAATATTCAGGCCTGTACTTCCCAAACATTCACAGATAGAGTACTGATATGCTTAAAGTTCAGAATATCCACAAGTCTTTGTATGAAGCTGGGATCAACCCTTTATGTTGAGAAAACAAAATTTGCATTTTAAGAAGCAGGTGGGGAATCTGTTCAAGATTGTCTACCAATTACCAGAACTGATAGCCACTGATCATGTCTTCCCTTAATCTCCTGCCTTTCCTTTTTTGGACTCAGTTTAGTCATCAGACCCTCCCTTTTCTTGTAGCATTCTCCTCCAGTCAAGTGCTGCTTGTGTGGATTTCCTCTGTTCCTTTACTTACACAGGATTTTCTTTTTGTTCCACAGATTAGGACTCACAGATGCCTACCAATGGTAAGACACTATCTTAGTCTGCAAGCTCTACTTCTTTTGAGAGTATTTAAACAACTATTCCATTTTTTTGATCCGTTTTTGAGGGGACATTTCTTGGCCCAGTTGCCCTGCCATCAGTGCCAGTCTGAATGGAACAGCCAGTTCATTTAAAAAAAGTTTAATCTAATGCTACTTAGTTTGTCTTCCCAATTTGTCCACTCACAGCACAGGTCATTCCTTTCAGGATTGCATGAAGTGGATTAATTTACATAATGATTTTTGATATTAAATCATTAGGCTGTGTTCAAAGTTTAATAGACTCTGACCGCCATTGCATGACATAAACAGGTTGGAGAACCACAAGCAATTTGTGACCTTTAACAGCTCCATGAATAACTCCCTTCGCAATTGACAGGGCAATTGGGTCGAAAAATCTTAGCTAACAAAGCAGCTGAAGCAATTAAAACTGTTCTGTTAAGGAGACAGATCAACCTTTGAATTAATGGTTTAGCCTATTAAAATGGCAGAATGATCTTAGTGTTCCTCTTGACAAGTCTTTCTTGGTATGTACTTTGTCATAGCTACTGAGAGGGTGATAGTGCAGACAATTTTAAATTTAGAAGAGTATATTCAAATACTCTGCAGTATTTGGATAGATCATTAGGGAGGCTGCCTTGAAAAAAAGCAGAGTGAGTGCAGGGTTCTTTACTCTCCTCTTGCCACAATATGAGATCACTTAGGAACAGCCCAGTGCATGGCAGGCCTTTACATCATCCATTTGCAAACAGGGCGAATTAAATGTCTTCCTTTACTGTTTGCATTTATGGGCCAGAATACACCATATCACTTCATCTGAGGGAAGGATTATCCTGAACAAGGATGATCAGTTGTGTGGTTAGATGCTGAGATATAGCCTGAGGAAGTCTGGTGTCCAGTGGCAGAGCTTTCCAGCACTAGTAAGATAACACAGCCCTGCCTCATGCTTCCCTCAACAGAGAAGATTAAGACATTGCCCGTCGCCCATTTGCATTTTCATGTGGTATGTAGCAATCACATTCTGGAAACCCTTTCTTCCTGTGATCTTGTTTGGGATACTCTTTCCTCCTCTATCCCCTCCACTCCATGCCATAGTAGGGTCTGGTATCCTAGGAAGTGCAGGATGGGAGTAATCCTGAATGCTTCTGGACTACAGTCCAAAATCTGCCAGAAAACAGGTAGGTGGTTTGCCAGCATCCATCTTTTCAGTGGAGGTGGCAGGAGAGACTGAAATTTATCTTCTCCAATTTAGTGATTGAATTTAGTCTCCAAAGCTGGCTCACAAACTCCTTGAAGAACAGTTGAGTCATTCCTTTTTAAAATATAATATTTTCTGACTTTAGAATGGGCAGCTGAGTGAGATGTGGTCCTTTTTGAAATTCTTAATATATATTGCCATATCTCAGTTTCTACCTGTTTTCTTCTCTCACTAAACATGAGGATATTGTGGGGACTGATTACTTCTAGGACAGCTTCAGGAGTGCCTTGTTTATGGGAGAATCATTGGGCAAAGAGGCAGATGATGATCTGAAGTACTGTTGTGCTTCTGCCTATTCCTACCTTTTAGAAAGCTTTTCAAAAAAAGTGGGTAAGGGGACATGGTCAAAGTCCTCTGAATCTTCCTCAGTTCACTACCATCTTTCCTGTTGTGCGGGTTTCTTTCCATAAAGAATATGAGTTGTAAAAGTATTTGTCTTGATTTTGTGGAGTTATTTTATTTTCACACTCCTTCCTTTAAACTGTAGATAGAAAAGAGCTCAGTGCTGTACATGCTGGTCTTGGCTAGACTTGGAGCGGTCTGTGGAAGCGAGGTGGGAAAGTCTGGTGATCAGAGTTAACTCTGGGAAGTCACTTGCTTTCTCTGTGACCAGGGAGTATTGCGTATATTGCCTTGTAAATGGGTGTCCTGATCCTATTCGCAGCCTCCAGGTGCCAGCTTAGCACGAGCAATAACAAAGCAGGTACTTTGTAATGACCAATGTGTCCCCACTACCATCAGCTTGAGCAGCATTTCAGACAGTCTTTCTACATGTAAGGCACCCATTTCCTCACTCTGATTATCATCATGTGCATTCAGCGGAGAAGATGGCCTCATACTGAATGAACCCTTTACAGTCCAGGTACCTTTCTGATCTTCTGATCTAACGCTGGTGAAAGTACACGGTGGCAGAGCAGGTGTTACCTGCTGTCTTAGAATGGATATTACTGTGTTGTCTTGGCCTCGCTCCTGCTCTGGATGGAGACAATTGGGCTGTGTTGCGCTCTTTAATTTCTAATTTTCTTTGAAGTTTGAATGCCGGAGTGTTCTGTTGGGTCCTTGTGTGGCAAGGTAGAAAGGAGGAGTTGGACTTAAGGAACAGCAGCACTGGTGAGGCACTTGGAATCCACGGCCAGTGACAGCATTCCTATCATCCTTTAACCTCCTTCAGAGGCCAGCGAAAACCAGTGGCCCATCACTGTCCTTGGCAGTTGCCTGGTCCTATTACTTCTGCTTTGGGGAGTAACTGGAGCGCTGTGCTGGGCCACACAGAGGCAGGTGGAAAGTCAGTGCTAAAGCCAGCCAAAATGTGCCCAAACCCCATTTGTGTTAATGGGAGTGTTTTAGACTGACCTCCTTGAATGTTTTTTCTGTGGATTCCCAAAAAGTTGTAGCAGAGCAGAAGCTGCCTGAAACCAAAGACAGTATTTTACCCAGCATCAGAACCTGGTGATGCTTTGCATGTTTATTTCCTGAAACATTCAACAAAGTGGTCTTCCAAATGTCGTTTCAGTAGTAGTTTTTCATTGCTCTCATTTCTTTCCTTTTTTTTCCAGAAGGATATTCAACTTCATGGACTGAAATATCTTTGTTCTTTCAGCCTTACTTTTTTCAAACTGGCTGCAGAGGCTTCAGTATAACAAGAGGGTTACATAAAAGAGCAAGGTTATATTTGTTTTGAAAGGTGACCAAAAAGAATACATTCTGCTTATGAATGGTCACTAAGAAAGCACTGATCTTCATAGTGCCTTGCCGTGCAGCACAGGAGCTCGTGATGATCATAAAAGGGTATAGATTTTTAAAAGGATGAAAGGAAATGCTTTTCTAACTTGGCACATAACAAGCTCCTGGAATTCATTGCCAGGGGATGTTGTTGCAGCACATTCTTTAGTAAGATTCAAATCTCTGAAGAACTACCAGTCCTCCAGGTCCAGAGCATGACCTCTGGGGCTAGCTGGGGTCGCAGAAACTTATTTCCCCCCTGGAATAATGTTGCACAGTCCCCCAGTTGCCAATGGAGGGCTCAGCTCTTCTCTTAAGTATGAGCTACTAGGAGAAATAGCTAGACTACTTCATGTGTGTTTTTGAGGTGAGAAACATCCGACGTCTGAAGACTACTGAATGAAGAAAAACCTCAGGGAGCATTTTCCAGCCTAAAGGGAATTTTCTCTTCATCTGCAAGGAGTTACTTTTTCTTTCATCTAGGAAGAATGGAAAATTTCTCAATTCCTTTGCTGCTTCTAAGCACAGTCATCAGAAAGGATTCACAGTCTTGATCCTCAGCACGTTTAATTCAATGGACTTTTTCCATTAACTTTAATGGGTTGTGTTTTGCTCCTTTTGCCAAAATGGCTTCTCAGAGTGCTTTGAGATCTACAGATGAAAGCCCTGGATAAGCAAGGGTAGAATTTATTGTTATTGTTCATCTGGAAGAAGCTGAGTTATTTCATCTCCTTAAAATGACCATAAACTCTGTTGCCAGCAAAAGGGGGAAAAAGGATGCTAGGCTTAGTCTCAACTGTCTTTGCATAGGCTGAGACATGCCTATAGATGTCATCAGAAATGTTTGTGCTGTTATTTACATTGCTAGTTGCAGCTAGAGTTGTCACCAGCTGGTTTGCCAGTTCTGCTCAGAACTACTGAGCTGGTACAGATTGATCTGCCACAGCTAGCACCCATATCCCTCGCATTTACGAGGTCCTTCCTATTTCACAAGCCACCACCCTCAGCATCAGATCTGCCCATCATCCTCCTTGCAAACCCTTGAAAAGCTGCGAAGTGGAGCTCCCGGGGGCAGTTCCCAGTCTATTAGCAGAAACTCAAGTTCTTCTTGATGCAGTCTGTATGAAGTAGATAAAGATGAGGACCACCATGCTCTTGCGCAGTCTAGTGTTCATATCCTAAGCATAATCTTCATCACGAGGTGTGGGGTGGACACAGCTGAGCCTTAGCAAGCCAAGCTAACACCCAGCAGTGCAAGTAGAAAGCACGTGGGTCCCAGGGATCAGAAAACATGGGTCCCACTCCTGAGCCTGCTGCTCAACTTGCAGTACAGGCATAACTGCACTTTGTGTGTCAGTGCTAGTAGGAAGAGGTAAGAAGTTCTACGATTCTATCACATTCTGCTTCTGGTTTTACTACTTGGGCAGTGGAGGGGAGGGGGGGAAAAACCCTGAAGATTGGATTGAGAGTAATAAATGGCTTCCCAAATTTTAACTACTGTTAATGAACTGCAAGGAAAAACAATATTTTATGGTATAAAAGGCATACTGTCAAACTGAGTCTGTCAGGACAGTCTCTTGCAGCCATAGAATTGGTTGGAGAGTATTTTTATTTTGCAAGTACAGCTGATCAGTGGCATTACTTTGCTTCACTTTGTTAAAATGTAGTCTTCAAGCCAACAAAATTCTGAAGTCCAAGCAAGTACACTTAAATATATATAATGTATATCTTACATATTAATATATATGAATATATATACACACAAATATTATTTTTCCTTGCAGTTCATTAACAGTAGTTAAAATCTGGTAATCCATTTATTACAATCAATCCAATCTTCAGGGTTTTTTCTGTAGTGTGTTTTCCCTTCCCCTCCACTGCCTGAATAGTAAAACTTATACATGTATTTATATTTAAGTGTACTTGATTTTTTTTTTAAACTGCAATGATAAAATATTCATGCACAAAGATTAGAAGCGTGTAATAATACATCTGGAGTCACTCAATCCCTTACTAGTGCATTCATATAAAGAAGGATAACTTCGTGGCCTCAGTAAGCTCAGAAGTGGCCCCATAAATCAATGGAACCACTGCCATGTTTTTCACTCCTATTAAAATAAAACTGTTGGTGACAATTTATAGCTACAAATATAGTTCCTGTGTATCACATCAGCTACAGTCCAGCTGGGAAATGGGGTACTCTAAAGAAGGACCACCATAATCTTGTTGACACCCATATATTTGGAATATCTGCTTCGAAATGTTTTCTGTGCACAACAGGTGCTGTTCTCCAAAAGGAAATGTCTTGTTCCAGATCTCATTTTTGGAGCAGATATGTCCCAAGATTTTTCGCTGACTTACTGTGGAAATAAATGAATCAGTCTGTAAGAGTAATTGGGGAAAAAGTAACAAAAAGCCATCATAATTACCTTAAAATAAAAAAAAACAAAAAAACACAAAAACAAACCCTGAAGGAATATTCAGTAGACAGCAAGACCGATTTAGGCTTCTGAAGGAATTACTGGAAATGAAATGACTTAGACTATTGAAAGGAAGACAGAAAATGAAAGAATTTATTGTAGGGCAGATTTCAGCACAAGCATGGCAAGGGCTAAACAAACACGAGCAGGCAACTCCATCTCCGACTGCGGAAATGCTTTGTGATTCTGTAGGAACCTGGATTTGTGCCTCTGCTAGGAATATTTTAGATACTAAAACTGACAAAGATGCTTTCAATATGAGCAGAGCTTTGGTGTTCAAGCTGTTCTTCATACCCAAATGAGTTCTTGCTCCTAAACAAAACAGGCTCTAGCATATTGGCAAAGCATAGCTATGCTGGTTTAAATGTGTTTGCACTTGGGATTTCTGCTAATACAATTCTGCCTGTCAAGGAGCCGCCGCACCTCCTCACACCCCTGACCAAGGCCATCTGTGTTGGCAGAAACCCACAGTGGTTAGGGTCAAAGGGAAGTAATTAAGATGGAAAGCAAAACCCTGGATAAAAAGCTCTCTGTAATTACATCAGCATAACTATGCTGCAAATGTAACTGTCTGTTTAAATTACAGGTATCTAGACCTCCGAAAATTCGGCTCAGTTCCTCATGGAGGCTTCGGAATGGGATTTGAACGCTACCTGCAGTACATCTTGGGAGTTGAGAGTATCAAAGATGTTATTCCTTTCCCCAGGTTTTCTCACTCCTGTCTCCTGTAGCTCAGCAGTTGACTCACGTGGAGAAAACTGCTAGTGTGATGATATGTATATAACGTATTAGGATATGACTAAGTGTGTTTTAATAGGAAATCGAGATAATTTTTATATCAGTGAAACTCTTGGTAAATTTAATACTGGCTTATTGAAAAATAATATTTGTCCTGGTGAGATGATGGAAGCACACTTGGCGGTTAATTTCATAGCAGTTCACGTCTTCAGTGCGCTGCAGGAGTACTAATAAATCCCACTTAACTAAAGGGTTAAGATTCTCGTGAGACTAGTACAAGCCATGGAAGTACTGAATAAGTGTTGTTGGGAGGTAGTGGGGGTTTTATGTGAAATATTAATAAGGAGGTGTGACCTAAAATGGACTGGGAGCCAGGACTGCTGTGAGGCTTTAATAGGCTTTAATTAAATGCCTGCACAGTGCTTTGAAGATTGAGTGTTATAAAATTGTGAAGTATTGTCATGGCTTTGATGCACTTGCTCTTACGAAATGGCTACTGTAAAGCATGATTCTCCCCACCCTGAGTTAGAAACAAATATTGTTTACCTTGGAAAAATCAGTCAAACCTAGCAAGGAAAAATGTGATATCGGAACTGCTGGAGTGAATTAGGTGAATGATGTTTGATTTTGTGAATCATCAATAAAGATGTACACTGGTTTTTGTAACTCTGTATGGTTTCTTCTTCTGTTATAAAACCACAGCACTCAGCATCATAGTGTTTCCTTCGCTATCTTTGGTAGATGTTTCCTTTTCCGTATACCCAAATTAGTTGCACAACTTCTGCCTGTTTTCTGTCTCCAAGAAAGCACATGCTCATAGCAGAAAGAAATGTTCAGTTAGATGAGAGTTCATTCATCTCTCCAGAGCCAACTTGCAGTTTATTGGTGGTTTTTTTGTTATTGCTTTGCTGCTTTGTTGTTGTTATTGAGAAAATCTCTCATGTGCTCATCGGACCAAGCAGTTTTGTCTATATTTTGAAACAACCAACATATGCTCCTGAGCATTGCATATGTATTAAGTAATTGCTTATCACTATAGGATCTGAACTCCTTGCAGTCTTTAGTGGGTTTATGCTCTCAGCTTCCCTGCCAGGTAAGGAAATATTAATTTCTGTTTTGAAGACAGGATTATGGGAAGATCAAGTGACTTGCCTAAGGCAATTGGAAACCAGTGGTTTATTTGGGACTTGAACTGAGGGTTTCCAGCATCTTTCTTCCCTTCCAAATTATCACAATCCAGTAAATGGTCATTTGCATAGTGCTTACTACTCTGGAGCCTGTGACGGCTGCAATATAAACAATATATATAAAGAGAAGAAGCAAGGTGACAGCCTTATTGCTAATGAACCTCTTGTAAATTGGCACATACAACGTGAAGTAGCTGCAGAACAGCCCTGAAGACTTCTTTTCTGAGCAGATGAAAGAGACTGAAAAATAGTAATCAACTAGCATTGCGCTGGTAATATTGCAGTCACGGTTCTCTCTGGTAGGGCTGTATAATACTGCACCTGCAGTATCTAAAAATACTTATTTATGTCATATGGCACCCGCCATGTTTCAGTTTGGTCCACGTCTGGGGCTTTTATGTGTTACGATCACGCAAACAACATCACCACAAGGTCATTACTTCGGGGTGTTTGTTGCATGCACTGAGATATCCCCTGCCTAATGAGATTTTTTTCATATCTCCTTCGTCTGCTTGATTAGGCAGGTGTTAACTGTGCGTTTGCTGGTTTGCGTTTCCTGGTACAGCCTTGAGTTGGTAACTCTGGTTCCACGAACTGGTTCAAGCACCTGCCTTCCCTTTGAAACCACTAAGAAGTTCCTACATCAGACACCTGAGTATCTTCCTGCATTTGGACCATCTCCTTTTAACGCGTTGTCTTAAATGTTATTGCTGGCCTTTATGTTTTGGAATTACTTCTCTCAGCAGAAAGATGTGGAAAGAGTACAGCTGCCAAACAGCCTCATCCATACCATGTTCCTAAATAACTTGTGATGAGCAGGTGTCCTTACTGAGATCCTTAGTCACTGGTTCTGTCTCAGTTGCTGTAAATGAGAGTGCCTGAACTGGAAGCCCATCTGCTGAAAACAGAGTGGGTGGATGGCAAAACCATCTCCCGTCCACTCTGCTCTCATCCCCGCTGCAGCTCTGGGCTGGCTGTGTTGTTTCTGGCATCAGCAGGCTGTTGTCAGCGGGAGGTTGTTGATCACGTTGTGAGATGCCAGATCTGATGGGCAGGGTGGAGCTAAACAGCGACGGGTGAAAAACAAGGTGTAGAGAAGACGACAATAGAAGGTGCCAGCAAGTCCTAGGATGATGTGGCATGAGTAACAAGTTACAGGGACGGATAGCAGGACTGTTTCAAACAGGTTTGCAGAGTGGCTGTCAGGGCCGTAGATGAGGTGACAGCTTGCAAGAACCGAGAACAGGTGTGATCTACCCTTCATTCTTTGCCTTGATAAAAGGTTGTTACAGGACAGAAGGAAAAGTTTGAACCTTCTGTTTGTGGATAGGTGGGTATATGAAGGTATATGGTAAGAAAGATGTAGCAAGGATGCACCGTGAGTGGTTCTTCGTGCTTTTCTGACTGAGTGTCCAAGAGGAGCAGTCTCCCCAGTCTTCTACGTGTATTTCTGTTTCACTCAAAGGTATTCGGTGAGTTGGAGACCCAGTGAGCAGGGTTGAGCTAAGGGGGCATTGCCCTTAGGTCTAAAAGCTTATCCAAAAAACTACGCCCAATAATCTGGCAGAATAAGCAGGAGAGTGGGGATTTTCCCAATAGAACTAACCGGGTGAACGTTCAGGCTCAGAAGGGAGAAGAAAGGGTTGTCCAGTCTTGGAAACAGCCTTCAACACGCGTTGTTTTTCCCAGCGGTGGGAGAGAGGAGAATGTAGAGGCTGAGGCCCATGTGCGCGATGATATTACTTAGGGTTAATACCGAGATTGGCGTTCCTGTGAGCAGCTTGATTTATGGGTGCTCGGCAAGGGTGGGAGCTGCTCTTTCCCTCCAGGCTGGCATTGTTCGCCTCGTGCTATGTATATATAACGTGGGCTGGTATTGCCAAGGAATGCGACGTGTTTTCCCTGGGATTTCCATGTGGAATGTCATGTATTTCCTTCGAATCTCCTCTCCCAGAATGAAACGGAAGTTAATCTGGAGGACAGGGGAGGTCGTTCCTCTTGGACATGTAGGGAGGGAAACGCACCGAGAATTTCTTAGATTTAAGCCGTTTTCCTTGCTACGTCTTCGCTTAGAGTCTGTATTCTGGCAACGGCTGAAGCCAGATAAAACCTCTGACAGTTCTTCAAGTAAAAAAATGTTATTCTTTGCACACAGGAATCTTCTCTTAGCCTGAACACGCAGTGCAGTAGCTTACATTGGAGGGTTTTCAGTGCGGTAAGCAGTCAGCTCTCAAGCCCAGGTGACCAGCACGGTCTCTGCTAGCATCCTTGCGGTAAGTATTTCTTGAAGTTTCAGTTCCTCGGCAGCTAGCACTGCCTCTTAGCAGGTCTGTCCTCACTTTGAGCTTCAGAAGAAGGAATCGGTGTCATTGATTACTGAGTCTGTGGCTTTGCAACATTAGGACAGAGTGATGAGAGAGCAACACCGCTGGGAGTAAAAGAGCAATGCCATAAACTTTGCGTAACCAAATGCCAGCCTCTCAGAAGAGTGTTTAGAGGAAAACCTCTTGTTTTCACTCCAAGAATATCAGATAATCCCTTCACTTAAGATTTTTTGTGTGCAGGAAAAAAGTATCCTGAAGTACTCTATTCTTAATTAAAAAAATAATACCTGCAGAACTAACACCATGTCTCAGTCTTCTAGTTTTTAAATCCCCAGGAGAGCAAATGCATGCTCTGAAGCTAGTAGCAGAGATTGCGCTTCTCTCCCTGATGATATATGTTGTGATACTGTGGCAGTGTCTAGATCTTGGACTGTTGTACTAGCTTCTGTACAAGCATAAGCAAAAAGATCCATCGCTGGGCCAAATGTTTAAAAGTCAGCAGACCAGCGCAGGGATTTTAGCTGAATTACCTGCATTCAGGCCCCCAGACCTGAGGGAAAAGCAGCAAGGTGCCCAGCTCAGCAGTCCTCTCTCCGGTTTATTTAGTAGTAGTTGTAATTTATAAAGCATCACTTTTTTGAGGGCATGCCAAGACTTTGAAGGGAAATGTAACGTACAGTTTTGCTTGCTGGACTAATATTGATTGTTTTGGAAATAGCTTATAGATGTGTTTTTCTTCAGGGGGAGAAGGGGACTAATTTGCCAAAAAACACTTTGGACATTGTTTCCATTAAATGTGTGTATAGAGATAAATGTGGCTTTGCTGCTGCTGAAACCAACAACAGCCATTATTACTGTTGTTTTAGCCTCTGTCTTTACGCTTAGGGAGAACTGGGAGATGGGTCCAAAGGAGAAATAAGAAAGACTTTGTATAAAGATTGTCAAAGTTCTAATTTCCTCAGATCTAACCAAAGCTGCCGAAGCCACAAAAATGGTGGTCTTGGGGGTGAATTTATTGTTTTGTCTTGCTGTTTGTTGCAGAGCCGTGACCTTCAGAAGGATTGTAAAGTTTTATTTTATGATCCTGCTGGTAGAGAGACATATGTAATTTACTATACGAGTTCTTACAGACTTGGCTAACAACAAGTTTGACCCAGAGTTCAAAGAAATTATGGCTCCCGTTGTTTTATTGCTGCTGTGAAATGTATTATTATCTGTCCTACAGCAGTGTCTCAGTGTCTGCTGCAAAAGGTGTTCGGCAAAGATGCTCTAAAGGGAGAGCTTTCACGTAAAGGGCAAGAGAGCGGCGAGACTGTGTGGCCATTTAAAAGTCATATACTAGCTCCATCAGAAATTGTAGGCTCGATTATGGGTGAAATGTGGGTGAAATGACTTCAGAATCCTTGTTGCTCTTATTGCTGACACTATTGTATTGTGGGAAATTGAGGCACGGAGCAATTAAGCTGCTTGCCCAAGGTTATGGAAGATGTGTGGCAGAACCATGGAACTGACCCAAATCAACCAAATTCTTGCTCAGCACCTCCCCGTGAGACTTAGCTCTGTTTGCCTTTGGGTGCACTGTCACACCAGAAGCAAGGCAGGATGTTTGCAGCTGATCCGGTTTCAAACGCATTTTTGGCATTTCTAAGATCCTAGACTGTGCTTCAGTGATTTTTATCTATCTCTGTATGTCCCAAGGCCTTTCAAAGATAGCAATCCTGCTGTTTATTTTTATTACTCTTACAATTGATTTTTTCTGAATAATTTGAGGCAGCCAACGGAGTACATTTTTAATTTTTTTTGCAAAGCTTGATCTTGCTTTTTGCTCTTCACCAATAGCTGTATATCTTACTGTCTTCAGCAGGTTAATGTACTGATACTCGTATGTGCTGTAAAAATGGAGGTCTAAATTTTCAGAAGTCACTGATCATGTAGGTTGCTGGCAAAAAAATACGCAAACTGCTCAGAAAAAGTGTGGTCTGGGAGGTGGCCTTGATGAATCACGTAAACACGCAAGTTTCTATATTGGACTATTCTGTACTATCTGCCATGACTTCCAAAAGAGGCTAGATTTCCAGCCACAGGGGAAAATAATTATATTTCATAGACACAATGGTTTTGTAATAATACTTCTGCGGTGTCT